TCCTCGCAATGCATGACCTTTATACCAGGGTAACCCGCTAACGGTGCGTATGTAACGAAAGCTAGTCACCAGTCAAGAGGGCTCGTGCCAAAAGATGCGTTCCAGGTGTCCGCATAGGTTTCTCGATTATGTACCAAATGAGGCACTTGTTGAAGTGCAGTCTAGTTGGTGCACCTGATACGCTGGCGATGCAATTCGATGCAGGTCGATTTTCAAAACTGCTTATAAAAACCTTTTGTCACTTTCAGTCACCATCTGGTTTCATGGTCACTTTGCTGTGTCACGTTACGAATGCGGATAGATGAAAAACCCCGTCTGTTCAGAAGGCTGCTCACCCCGATAAGTACAACCTGACGTGAGTTATGTGTATATCATTTCGTCTATTGGCCACAGCAAAATAAACTCATGGCTACAAAAGAACGATGTTGTGGATTAAAGTAATAAAAAAGCGGATATGATTTTAAAAATAGAATGAGAAATTAATTAATATATGATATAAAAGCAATATAAAAAGGCATTGGCTTATGATAAAGATGAAATGAAACGTTGTGCGAAAAGGCTTGCAGGTGTTTTTCTAATTGTAGCACAAATGACAAAACTGAAAAAACATGTTTAACTAAAGTAATATTCTTTGTTTCTACTTTAAATATGTTTCACTTAGCATATTGCTTAGGGTGAAGTAAAACAGGAATTCCTGCAGTATTCACATACGGACAAGCTATAATACGAAATGTATACGAACTGCTAAGTAAACCCAAAAGCAATTCTATTCTAGAGCCCCCACTCATCAAACGTAACACATTCTATTGTACAAGATATAAGATAAACTTATCTCAACTTGATCAATATTACTATCCAGCTGGTAAATTGACTAGTAAGTTGTTACCGTTTTTGTTTGGTGCGCCCTTTTACTTTTTGTTGTAAATTTTTAGTTATTTGATGTTCAAGTGTTTAATATGAATCGAAAGCTATTTTTCGCTCTGCGAGCTTATTTCTATCGTTTTGAACAAACTCACGGTAGTAACAAGATAACAAAATGGTAGCTGAATAAATCGATAACAGCAAACGTGTAAGGAAAAAGATTTTCAATGGTGTACAATATTTGAGCATCAGCAAAAAACCAAAGTGGTACAAACTTAAAACACGAGATTTTAAAGGTTGCAATGTTTTCTTTTATTATATGGAGCTCGATACCGATATCCAAGTCACTACTGCTTCATTCACTGTCTATTTTCTGGCACAGGACTGACAGTTATCAGCATCAGCA